CTATGTGGCGACGTTCTATAGGACCTCTAATATGTATTGACTTTGTAGGACACATGCCTTGACTTACAAGGCAAGTTTTTCTACGTGTGGGCCACATAGTTAGCTTGATCTTTAAGCTAACAACATGTGTGGCACATGGCCAACTTGTTGACCACGTTTCTAATCCAAAAAGTCAATTAAAGACACCTATGAAGTCAAAGCAGTGTCTAGGAAGTTTCTAAGAAGCTTTTATATTAAATATTATAGAATTAACTTACTTTTATCTACTTTTACTTACTTCTACCTATTTCTATATGTAATTATTAGCTTACATGATTATGGCCGTGACAGATTGGTATAGAAATAAATTCTTTCTTTAAAATATCAAATAATTCTTTGGTTTCTTTACTCCACTCAAATTTTTCTTTACAAGTCAAATGTGTAAGTAGAGCTATAACTTGAAAAAAAAAAATTAATGAAGATTTTATAGTAATTGACAAAGTTCAAAAAGTATTATATATCTCTGACTATTTTCAAAATCTTATAATGTATGATAGTCTAGATCTTCTTTGAATCCATTATTAGTGCTTCATTCGAAATGATGTATCTTAGAAAGTCAACTTAAGTATTATGAAATACATACTTTTTTATCTTGATATATTATCTTACATCTCTAAATTTTGAAACACATGACAAATATGAAGTTCATGTTTTTTTATGTTCTTAGAATAGATTATAATGTCGTCTAAATAATACATAACAAAATCATCAAGAAACTCACAAAAAATATCATTTATGAGATTTTGAAAAGTGGTTGGTACATTTGTGAGTCCAAAAGGCATAATATTATATTCAAAATATCCATACCTAGTTTGAAAAGCAATCTTCTATTTAACTCCTTCTTTAATGCAGACCAAGTTATATACTCTTTACATATTTATTTTTATATAGATCTTTGATTAATTGACTTAGTCAAGTAGTTATGAAATCAAAGGTAGGAGATACCTATTCTTGATGGTGAACTTTTTAAGTCTTCAATAATCTATGCACATCTGTAGAGATCCATCATTTTTCTACTTAAATAAGATAGAAGCTTCTGCTAGAGATTTTGAATAGCATATGAAGTTCTTAGCCAAGTTCTTGTCAATGTATTCTTTGAGTATAGCTAATTCATTTTGCAATAAACTATAGATTAGTCTAAATGGTGGTTGAGCTCTTTCTTGCAAATTAATTGAATAATTATGATGTCAATGCTTTGGAAGAATATCTACATTTTTTTTTTCAAGAATGTTGTAGAAATCTTGATATTAGTTAGGAATACCACTTGACATCTTTCTACCATCAAAAATAGATGTAGTATATATAATAAAAGATGATTTTTTTTTTGCATGCGTAAAATCTTTCATACTTATTAGTAAAGCCTTGGATATATATTTATGTATTTTTATTTGATTAATAAAATTTTAGATTAAATTATAAAAAAATTAAGATTATAAAAAATCTAATCTATCTAAGAATTATATTTTTTTAACAATAATAATTTTAAAATAATTGGATTGGAAGGAGAACTTATCACATTAAATATTACTTTGCTATTATGATCTTTAATTGTTATATTTTAAAAGAAAAGTCTTATAGACAACATTTCCAAAAGATAACAAATGACTATATATAACTTCTATATGTATGGATTTAGTTTTCTTGAGTAATAATATTTCTTGTTTTTTGACAAAGTCTTTGTTTATAAAATATGCTAAGGCTCTTAAATCTAATAAGGTAGATTTTATGGTTTTTAGATCCTAAATACATATTTATTATAAAACATGGCAAAGAATCTAAGGAGAGAATAGGACCTTTACTAGGTATTGCACATGATTTCAGTTGCATAGTTCGTAGTGTAGTTGGAAAAACTTGTTTTTCTACACATTATCTTCTTTAGCAACTATGCTCCTCGTTTTGTCATTGTGTTACTTCTTTGGATAATGTTGAGCAAAATTCTTAGCTTCTCCATAATATAAGCATAATTTTTTTTGATGACATTGACTCTTTTCTTACTCAATGAGAGATTTAAAACGTATTATATCAATTTGCATTGGTTCTAGCTTTGATGAATAGATTTCTAAAAGCTTAGGAGGTGCTGTCATTACTTGATTTGTTCTTCTTTAGTCAAATCTTTGTTCTTAACACCTTTTAAATAATCAATTATTACATATAATGGCTTTAGCAATAAATTTTCTTAAAGAATTTGCTTTTGATATTGTTAATAACAAATCTTTGACGTTATCCTTCAATGCATATTCAAATTTATTGATAAAGGCTTTATAAATCCCATCCATATTGCAAGCAAGGTTTTGGATTTTACAGCATGTATGGTAGGTAACCATGATCCTTGTCATAAAGATAAGACCTTGGTCTTTGCTACTCTTTTTCATTCACTTTTTCCAAATGTCGCCATAAATACTTCTAAGAATGAATTTCAATCATAAATGAATCATAAATCTTTTTCCATCAAAGGTATAAATCAAAAAAGAGTACTTCTAAAAAAACTATTGGAATATTGGAAATAATGTAATCTTAAATAGAGCTTAATTTTTTGTAAAAATCCTCAATATTCTGATCTTGTTCCATTAAACTTCTTAGGCATATTAATCCTTGCCTCTCTCATGTTTATAGGAGAAAGATTTCTTGAATTTGGTCGTGAGGCTGATCTATTTGCTTCTCTCAACTATCCAACTTCTTAGCATAGATTCCAAACTTCTTCCATATGTGTAGGAATAGTGCTCTTATGGTTGGCATTGGTGATGCATGAAATTTCTATCCTAAGAAAGTTGAGAAGCTCATGAAGATCTACATTAGTTGCAAATCTATTCACTTTTGCTAAGTGTAGCATTTAAGATTTTTTCTTCTATTTTAAATAACTTAATAAATCTACAAGTCAATTAGAGGAATGTAATATATAATTTCTAATGTCAAATAAAAATTTCCAAAAATGGGGATGATCTACTTTCTTTTAAAAAAAATCAATATTAAAAAACTAGACAGTTTGTTTAAAAGTGGATAATCTGCAACCTTCAAAATACAACAATACAAGTGAGATAATCCACTTATTTCTAAAACAAGACAAGAACAATGAATTAGCATTCTTGTCAAACTTTCAAGGATATGAATCTTAAAGAACTAAAAGATCAAGACATTCTTGTATGACTTAAAAAGACTAGATAATCACTCCAAGATGATATAATATTAAACTAGAATAATTATTGTTAAAGACAAAAAGACTAAAAAGTTTTGAAATAAGACCAAGGACTAGAAAGACATTGAGAACAGTGAAGAAGGCTTCACTCTTGCTTCCATATATACTATCTAACTAGGAACTATGTAGTGATGTTCTATAAGACTTTCAACACATGTTGACTTTACAAGACATGTATCTTAACTTGTAAGGTAAGTTTTCTATATGTGCACCACATAGTTAGCTTATTCCACAAGCTATCAATACATGTGACATGTAATTAATTTGTTGACCAAGTTTTTAACCTACCAATCAACCACAAACATATGTAAAGTCAAAACCGCATTTGTAAAATTTTTAGGAAGCTTTTCTAATAGATGTTATGAAATAAATCTACTTTTATCTACTTCTACTTAATCATATAAATAATTATTGGAGTAAATATATATCCATGACAACAATAGATATTCTAATTTCTATCTGATATCAATCTTTCATTTATCTACTTTTTCTTTTTGAATGTTATAAGAATGTATTGCTTCTTTAGAATTTTTTTGTGATTTATATCATTCACAATAAGCAAACAAATAATGAATATAGAGACAAAAAGATAGTAGATCATGGAATTGTATAGGAGTGGCAAGAAGTAGGTTCTATTTTCTAATATGATGCATCCATATCTAAATTACTAAATGGATATCTCAAACAATAAAGTCTAATAATAAAAAAGTTTCTAAAAAAGAAGATTTAAGGTTTTTTTAATATTAAACTTATATTAATTTAATATATGGCCTATTTTTATTTTTATTTAAATATTTATATTTTATATTTTAAATAAATATATATATATATTTTTAAAAAACCCAATTATTATAAACTTTATAAAAAAACATAATACTTTAAATTTTTAATATAATCTTTGTAATAATAAAATATTTTTAAAATGGCATAAGAATAAAATTATTAAATTATTATGCAAAATTCTACTAATAAATATTATCTCCTTATTTTAAACTTTTTTGACTTTTTAATATTTTTTTATAATAATATCATTATTTTATTATGAAAAAGTATTTTATTATAAAATAACTCAATTAAAAGTTTCATTTTATTTAGGATATTGTTAATACAACACCCTTGAGTTGTTAAATTGACACCTTCCAACAACCCTTTGGCACCTCCAAAAACTTGCAAATATGTTATGTATCTTCTCCCCTCAAATTTCTTCATGATGCACTTCCAGTAATCCCACTATTCTTTCTATTTTGTTGCTCCTAGCCTTTGGAAGGTACAAACTTGCATCCCACATTACCACTTGCTGAAACACACATGTGCTAAACTCACAAAAAAAACCCACTACTCTTTAGAAAAGAATAAATTTACATCCCACATAGCCACATAGCATCTTTGCTGCATCATTGCTGAAACACATTTGTTTAAAAGCATCAAATTTCAATAGAGATATGAAACTGGTGTATATTTGAGAAACCACATATTATTAAAGCTGAACTATATTTCAAGGGTTCGCCACATTTGTAATTGTAATAATCGTTGAAACATTGACCATAAAGCATATAAAATAGTATGCTTTGTGTAAAATGAAATCAAGTGTTTGAACTTCATTGAAGATGTAGCATTTTTTTTCATACAGCAGTGTTGATGAGCACTCATATGTTGAATTTCCTTGGTGGTCAACCTGAAAACTTAAGAATGGGTATCCCAATTTTACACAGTAATTATTTGATCAACTAGACTGGCCTTGAAAATTATAAATAAAATCAGGCTCCACTAATTCTTAGGTAACTGGTATATTGCGTAATCAGCATTGTAATGCCAGGAGTATGCCATCTTCAGAATCAGGATTCATAATCTACATCACAAAGGAATGTTCATTTTGATACTAAAACTTGGGGGACAGCATCCAAAAACGCACATTGGCCGAATATTTACCCACAACATACTCGTCATGGAACACGAAACTCCGAGAAAATATTCGGACGGTTTCAATTCATTTGATCATCTGCAACTCTTGACAACCTACGACTGCATAACTATTTACAGCATTCTTGAGCAATTTTATGATTCAGAATTACTGGGACCAAAAATGTCCTCCCTTGCAGAAGCTGATAAGATATATGGCTTCCGTTCCTCCTGGCTTGCATAGATTTCACACAGATACTCTAATGCTACATTCCATGCACAATTTAGTGTAGGAGTGTAACCTTTTCGCAAAGTCATTTCGGCATGCTCATGGTTCACAATATACAGGGCAGACGCTTCCTCCAATACTTGGATAATCGATTTGTTTTGCCCTTTCAGAATCTGCATAATAAAATAATGAGTCAGCATAGAGTTTCTTTCTCCAACATCTTTCAATTGAGGGAAGAGTTACCTAGAAATAATTTAAGTCCTCTCTAGATATACTCTGTTGTCATCCAATTTCACAGCAGCTGTGTAGATCCACCAATCGAGGAAGCAATAAAATTCGCTGTGTATCATTCATCAGATGCAATCAATACCTCCTGATAACGAGCTATCACCCGATCTAGCTCATTATTCTTAAATGCAGCCTGCGTATCTTTGTTATATTGCTGTAGAAGTCCTCGCCAATTTTCGATGTATCTATCGAACCTGCCGAACTCGAATTTGGGATCGTATGCAATAGTTTCTGCCGTTGTTAAAGAAACATTACATCAGAAGAGATCCGTAGGACAAGTCCAGACTACATACGCAGCAAGTCAAGTAATCCCACAATAACCTAGTAAGTAAATGAAGATTTGCAAATTTTTTTATGCAAATTTTCTTATGCAAATTTCATGCATTCTTGCACTAATCTGGTTTCAGTTTGTTTCTCTGTAATATCGGACGAATTCTCCATCTCCATAGAGTAGTATATGTAAGCGGAAAAACATATGAGCTCTTTCCTAAATTGCCAACTTCTGAAACCAGTTTCTATACCCGTTGAAGCATACCTTCAGGTCTATAACCTAGTCTATCAGCGTTTTTATCAACCATGTCGTAAATTTGGCCGAGTATGCTTGTGGAAGTATAATAGGTCCTCCGACTGGTCTGATTCTGCTTCCTCATGAAGTGCGGATAGCACTTCGGTTCCAACCCCCTACGTAGCTTGACCTGTTGTTAAAAAAACCAAGAAATAACTGATTAATGCTGAAACGTTTCTCATAAAAAATGACCGCTTGGGTTACAGCATGTTTTGGTTAATATTAGTGTCATGTAATAACTTCATGAGCTGCAATCAAAGAACAAAATAGAGAGAAGTAGAGAATAACAATAGACATCCAAGCGAAGAAGTGATGGTATAAACAGACCTCTTCACCAGTCTTATCAGCATCTAGGGCTCTGTAGAAGATATCTATCAACTCTAGAATTGTTTCTGATAGCAGTTCCAGCTCTTCTGAATATTCATCCGCGTATTTGAGCGTCAAGTACCGATCCATGTGTGCTATCCAATATGTAGCCGATAGTGGCATTGGCTTACTGCGAAATCATTCAGGCAACAAGTACAGAATATTATATTTACCTTCACAGATAAGACTGCTAGAGGTTTACTATACTTCAATTCAAGGAGCAGCGGTAACGTAGCTCAAGATGAAATCGGCATGCGAATATCTCAATTCACAATTCATGATCATCGGCTCAACGCTGTTCTTTAGCGATTCCAAACTAATCAAGACTGTGTCCTGCATGACTGTAGAGAAAAGGCACAGTTTCTCACTAAGTTTTAAAACGACTGTTCAAGAATTTTTCAAACAGCGCGTATTCAGCGGCTCTGGGTGTAAGACTGCTGGGACCATTCCCAACCGGGTAACTTGTCCTCTCCCCTATTCTCGTCCAAGGTGGGCTTGGAGTGAAAAGAGAGATCAACTGCAGCAATCCGAACACCTATGAGTTGGCAGAACACCACCTTTGAGGAGAAATAATCCAGAAAACTATTCGCTACACAGAATACCATCGCATCTCAAAGGTTCAAGCTATCCAGAAATTCATTATGACCTTTCTTGGTGTAGAAATCAGCGTGGGAACATATCACTTGCCTGTGTGTTGAAGCAAACCCAATAGAAATCGCCATCAAGGTCACTGTTCGCAATTTCATCCACAACTGGGCGATTACCTCGGACAGAAAAGAAAATGGTTTGATTCGCAGGACCCACGTATGGATTGAGACGTTCATCCCATACTGCATCAAAAACATGCACATCTCCCCAATGCTTCCCAGGATTCTTGTATACAAGAACCTTCCCAAGTACTTTGTCGCCATTCCTGCACACTTGAAATCATTAAAGGAGTTGTAGGTTTCGACAATTTTGTCTAAGGGAGCTTAAGGAAGGGACTACTTACTTGATGACCGCAACTTCATTTGGCTTCAAAACTCTCTCCTTGGTTGGATCACACGTGCCCATAAGATAACAGCTTTGAGGCAGAGGTACACAACCTTTTCTCAGAAGTGCGATCTTATCCTGCGATATCTTCTTCAAATTCTTTTGCATCTGAGGGTTGTTCATGGGGATGTTTGCCATGATCATACGAAGTGTTTGGTCACCAACATCATAATCTTGGGAACACCTTTTCAATTCTGTGTAATCCACATTAGAGAAAAAATGTTAGACTAGATCACAAGAGCATTGAAGTAGGAATGAAAACGATAAGCTTGCATCAAAACAATGAGTAATACAGTCAACAAACCAGAGCTCAACGGTACCGTTGACTTCATACCTCTAAAGACTTGCCCCCGTGTGGTAAAGAAGCTGTGAAGATTTTCAAGAGCTTTTTCCACGTGTTCCAGGAAGAACGAAGCTGGAACATTGTTTACAGAAAGCAAGAAGATCAAATCCTGGGACAGCTTAGCCTCCTCCTTAAGCTTGTAACTGTAAACAAAAAACACATGACAAAAAAAGTTATTAATGTTTGTCTGAAGAATTGAAGTAACACATTGCATCAAGCATCAAATGGACGATCGACCACATGTCAAATCATCAATTCAATGTGATAAGTGAGATTATTTATCTACCACAACACGGCGACCTAGTCAATAAACATGTAACCTTCTCAACAAAACATTTATTCAAAAATGATGGCATAGAGGCGGAATGTCAACCCGCATACCAGGTGTTGGTATTAACAATTTCAAAACTGTTAATGGTGGGAAAATCTTTCAGTGCAGCATCGGTTGTGACCTTCACCATTGATGGTCGATACAAGATCTGCAGCCCCTTCAACTACAGCAAAAAAACGAACGCACTACATACTGATTTAATGAATACACCATCGCCATGCTCCACGTTGATGCACGTCTTGGTTGACCAAGCAACCCATTCACACCCAGCACACAACCACATTACAAAAGAGTTGCTAAACAACCTACCATAGACTTAAGGAGTTCCCAGAAAATACATTTGTACGTAGCAAATTTTTAACTTCATTTCCTCAGAAGTTAGTAATCCAGCGAAGGAATAGACGATTGCAGGTGATAGACAAAAACTAAGGAAATTCAAATACCTGATGATTCACTTGCCACGTACCCTTAATCGCCATTCCTTTCCAGAAAAGGCGACCTTGTATCAAGGTGGGATAACCCTGCAAACAAAGAAACGTTATAGGAAGAATTATATTCAGCTTCACCGCAGTCAAATTTCCATTACAGCTTCTGATGCACTCTACTTTTTACCCATCTAACTTCTTACTCCGAACTACTTCCTCCTGTGAATGTCTACTACGACAACAGAGCCAGATCATGCGCTTTTGTGCTCAACAATATCAAAAACACACCATTGATTTGTTAACCTTCCCTTTGAAAACAGAACATGGTATGAGCCTTGCAACATCAGGTGATATTTCTGCTGTGCCCTCAGTGTGGGACATGAACTTTCCTGAGTTGTCTAAAGTCTGTCACAACATTAAAAAAACGGTTTCACTCAAGTAAGAATTCGGAAGATTGATAAATATCGCATTTGCACACTTCTGATGAATCTTGGAAAACGCTTAAACGACTAGCTAATGCAACCAGTGCTTGGAGGCACGATCAATTCGTCAAGCCGGAAGAGTCAGTGTTATTATGTTTCCTTCTTGCTTCAGAAAACTATACAAGACGATAGCATGGTTTGGGCAGCTTCCTCCGAAAGTATCCTCAAATTCTAATATTAAGTATCGAACCAAAAGAAAGTGACAGGCTTACGACAGCTGTACCGTAGAAAGTATGTCCGGGATCTGTCTAACTTTGATTTCATCCCAATTAAGGTTGGCTGTAACAGACTTGGAAAGAGCCAGTTGCAACCTGAATCCTCGACCAGAGGATGAACCACAGCAACCGATAAGGCACAAGGAAAGACAATGACAGAGTCAACATAACCGCCGCACTTGCAGAACACCATGTGAGATATCCAGAACTTTACGCCCATTAATCAAGAAATTATTAAATGTTTGTGTAGAACAGCAAAAAATGAGAACAGACACCAGGAAATGGCACTCACCGGGAGGCAAATTTGGACATAGTGGGCACTGTATGGATGTGCACAATGTGGCAGCGCGCGGCCTCTATTGTTTTGAAATACTTGAAATTTGAATCAGCAAGATCAACATCTGCAAGAGATTCAGTGCAGATAAAGATGCACTTTACAGCTCTTTGATAATCCTTATCTGTCCAACATCCATCACCACCACAGCTAAGTGTAGGCCACAACAAAATCTTTTTCACACAAGGTACACATTAGAATTGGTCTGCTCCTTAATCGAATGAAAAGTGGCAATTCAAGCAAGATATTAAAAGTAGTGCAGGAGCACATTAAACTGTATGTGTAAAATACACCTTAGGGTCAAGGGAAGAGGAGAAATTTATTACCGTAGGGCTTGCTTCTATTACTGAACTCCTCTTTTCCAGAATCCTTGAAAGCTATATTAAAGAAAACACTTAATTAGACTCAAAGAATTGTGTCAAAGCGTTGATCAGGCAATCTATTAAGATAAGCAAACGTATTCGTAAGTTATAACTCAATCTCCCCATTTTCAGAGTCCATTGATTGGTTCACCACTTACTCCAGAGTCGGTACCGCCGCAGGCCGACTAAGATACCATCTCGAACTAGTTGAAATTTGTCTTCGGTAGGAGATTCATTGAAGTAAACAGGCATAACTCTGTCTTCACCAAATGTGCGATGCAGCAATGTGCTTGCTGGCCTTGGCTTGACAACCTGAAAAATTAATAATTGCAGATGAGATAAGAAGCAAGTAGTTTGCACTCAAGACGAGTACAACGATCCTGTCTCGTAATCAATACCTCAACGTTCAAAATCATAGAGGTAGACGTGCTTGCCTTAAACTTGCAGACGCCATGTTTATCAACGTTGCATTCAAATGAAAAAGGTCCCTTCGTCAGCCACTCCTTCTGTAAACATTTCATAAATCAGCAACCTATGTCCTTAGAACATTCAAACCGAAAGCTTCTCAATTGATGGTGCTTGCAAATTTTTGAAGTGTGCTTAGCCCACCAGCCGGGTTAATAGTAATTAAAGTAATTGATCTAACATGAACTAGCATTATCATATCAAAGACACTTCCTGCAATAAGCATCATACGAAAGCTCAACACAACGCTTAACTGAATAATGGAACTATGAGAAGAGGACCATGAGAGAATCCTTAACACAACTGTCAGACTAAGAAATAATTTGCAGGAAAAAGTTCAATCCAGAGGTAGAGGTTTGGATATACGCTGATACGAGGAACTTCTTCGTCCCGAACACCTCTGCTAATAGCAACTTCCCGCGAAACGTATCCTGCGACATCTTCTAAATCCAACCTCTCAAGCTTCTTGATTTGTTCTAGTGTGAGCACCTTTTCAGGTTGAAGGTCCAATCTGTAAAAACATTTCTATTTCAATCTCCCTCATGGTGGAATCCATTCTCAATAATTAAAGGAATTAAACATTACTAATGTTTCATAAAAACTTGGCCCGCAATAAAATCAACGAGATTGGAAACTCAAGTATCAAACAAAAAACAAAAATAAAAACTTACTCTCCAAGACAGCTCAGCGTGACCATAAATTTTTCGAAGTCCAGTTTTCCTAATGCAAGTTGCGGTTCTGTGAGGTCAATCCAGGGCCAGCAAAATTGGTCCTCTGCCACACTGGGATACAAACAGTTCCAGTCTTTATCTAAAGGGGTAAGCTTCTCAAGTTTTTCCAACTGTGTTTGCTTCAGTGTAGTTGCAGGAGACGACAGCCTATATTCTGATCTTGTCTTCTCAAAACCTTGTACTGTTTCTGACCCCACAATAAATTTTCAAAACTGATCAGGCTACGATTAGGTCATAAACTAGGATCACCAGGTTTGAGAGAAGCTCTAGCTAAGTCGACAATAAGAAGAAAAAACAAATTGACATGATTAGAAATCCTTCACATCTGTTGACCAGGACCAATGCATTCGATTTGGAGATATTTTCATGCGAAATGCTGCGTGCGCACTGTAATCCCAATGAGGATATAAGTATTCATCAAGAGATATTACGTATTACCATGACCAAGAGATACTGGAGTCACTGCAGCTTCAATATCGGACAGAAACTTCCAGAAGTGGTGCATCAAAGGATCTTCACGCTCCTCTCCCGAACTTAAGAAATTTTCAATCAATCGCTTCCTGTCAGCACCAGAACACCTGCCGCACGCATCACTTCGTCCATGGCCACTGTCACTGGAGCTTTTACTAGAGGTAGAATTCTCCGAAACCTTCTCCTCGTTTTCGAACCGACCAGAGGAATCCACGAATTCCTCCTCATCGGATTCTACTTCTAGGTTCCATGGATTCTTCACCGGGGAAGTGAATTTCGAACCCGAGGTGAATTTAGAATCTTCTTCCTCACATCCGTTCAATGCAGCCCACGACAGTAACTTCCGAACCCCGCGCATTGCTTAAGTAGAAATTAAACAGACTCTTGCGTGCACTAAAAGATCATTGTGCGTGCAGTAGTAAAATGAATTATGCGACTCCAATGCGACCCCAAGCTCGCTAAATAAAAACCAAATGCACGATAGCGTTGACCACGAGGAGGGTTCATCCAACTCAACCTTCAGCTGCGAGAGCTCCCAAATTTTAGCCACGATCAACAAATGCTGCGAAACGATCTCCCGCCTATCTCCCCAACGGATACCTAGCACATCAGCCCCGTTTCCTCACTCCTCCCTTCGACATAGAGCTCCATCGTCGACGAGATTCCTGACCAAATCCAGCTCGCCCATCGAATCCATGGCATGCTCCGACCCACTCTCACACCAGACGAGCGATCCCGATCCCTCACACAATCCGAAAACCCTGGATTGGCAACAAAATGGAGCAAAGAATAACTGCGATGCACCCACGCGTTTCGCTGCCCCTGCTGCGACTAACTGCAGCCACGAAGTTCCTACAAATCGGAGAATCCTGTATTCGAAAAACTCAATTGGAAAATCGAGAGCTTAGTGCCGCAGCTCGCAGTGGCAAACAAATAAATCCCCTTCAATTCACGAGTCTCCGCTCCCGTCCTTCGTCGTCGTGGTCGTCGTCGGCATCGCCTTTTCCTTGTGGAGGCTTTCAGGGTGTCGGAAGAGAGGATGAATAGTTTATTCATCCATACATTGTCTCTGTTGGTGTGGTTTAGGATGGATGTCGATGCCGTTGATTGTATTCCACGAATGAATGAAAAGATATCGAGGATTCGTTTGAATGAATGCTGGTCCGGGAATGGAATGAATCTGTATTTCCGTTGGGACTTTTGGCAGGATGTGCAGAAGTGAAGGGGATAGTTTTGAAGTGATTCTAGTATCCAGAGATGATGAATGAATGACCAATATTTCAAGATTAAATGTGTGTGAAATTTCAATAAATATAGAAAGAATTACCAGTACACATATATATATATATATATGTGTATATATATATATATATATATATATATAATAATTCCTTGCATATTACAATAAATATGCAAGGAATTACTAGTTTATGTATGTGTATGTATGTGTATATATATATATATATATATAATCACAAACACAAAAGATTATGAAGAGATAAAACAAAGTGGTATAAGTAAAAACTTCTTAGTCAAGGTTTTGTATTTTTAGCATTCAAATAAATAAAATTATATATATTTTTTAATATATATATTATATATAAAATTTTAATTATATTTTTGTATTTAGTAATACAAAATTTTATTAGTCTTATATTAAAAGTAGAAGTATTTCTTTAGCTTTAATGCTTGTTACCGAATTCTATTAATATTAAAGAAAAAATAACATAAAAATATAAATAAACAAAAAAAAAATATGAAGGATGAAACATCTTTTAAATTTCACATAATCAAATAATCTACAAAAAGTAATCTTAAAACAGTGATAGACCTTCAAAAATACGGCACTAAGCTAATCAATCTATAATCTAACCAGCTAATCAATCTATTTCAACCAATAGATAAGATATATTGTTATGATCATGTTTTTAAAATAAAAATATAAAAAAGTATTTTTGGATAAATTTAATATAAGCTTAATATATATTTTTAAATTAAAAAATTATATTATATCATATTATTACTATTATTAATAAATTTTGTTTAATATTTAACATGTTAGACCAATAGATTGATTTAGATATGCCATGTAGCAAAAATAAATTCTTATAGAAGTTTTTCATATTTAGAAAAATAATATAAAAATAATTTTTAACTTAAATTTTTTGTTCATAATTTTTTTTATTATATAAAAAGCTTCTAAATGGCCTTTTAACAAACTAATATGTAGAAGTAAAATTAAGATTATTTTTATGCTTGGTGTTACAAACATCAATATTGATATTGGTAATTAAGAAGAAAAGAGGAATTAAGTAGACATGTGTCTCAAACATTGAACATATAGTGCACATGTTGAAAACTTGTCTTACAAATAAGTCACATGTCTTTCATGTTAGACACATGGCACACATGTTGGAAACTTGTCTTACAAGCTAGATATGTATCCTCCATGTTGAATACATGACACACATGTAAAAAACTTGCATTGCTAATTAGACATGTGTCTTGCATATTGGACATATGGTGCACATATTGGGAACTTGTATTGTAAGTTAGACATGTACATTGGACACATGTTAGATTATATATAGAACAATGCCACATAGCTTTTTAGTTGGATAATTTGTATGGAGGCAAGAGTAAGGCCTTTGTTACAATTGTCAATACTTTTCTTATTTCTTGTTTAGTTTCAAGAATCTCTAGTCTTGTTGTCCTTAGCAATAGCTATTATAGTTTCTTTTTAAATATACATCTTTATTTTTATTTTTTTCATCTTTCTTTGATAAGTATTTTATTTTTTATTTCTATTCTTCAAGTTCTTGTCATTGGCACTTGGCAATAATTTTTAAATTTTAAGAATCTCTATATTTTAAATTTAATACTAGCTATTAAAATTTTATTTTATTTATATTTATTTATTTTTATGATTTTATTTTTAATTTTTTTTTAATAGTATATGAATAAATTATCTTTTAAAAAATTTATATTGATTTATATCTATATAATATTGATTAAAATAATATATCTAAATTTTAAATTTATTTTTTTTAGTAAAGAATAAACCACATACTTTTCTTAAAACCATTAAAATATTATAGAATTCAATAAGAAGATTTTAGGAATATTTTTAGAATATTTTATTTAATTTTAAAAATTTCTAAAATATTCTTAATATATTCTATTAGATTTTAAAAAGTTCTAAAAGGATTAAAGAAGTTGTCTGAGAATCTTCTAAGGATTGCTTCATCTTTAAGCAATATGAAAACTTCTCAAGAAACTTCATAAGTTTGCTTCATCTTCAAGCAATATGGAAACTTCTTAAGAAGCTTTGTAAGGTTGCTTCATTTTCAAGCAACATGAGAACTTTTTAAAAAGTTTCTTAAGGTTGTTTCATCTTTTAAGCAACATAAGAACTTCTTAAGAAGCTTTTTAAAGTTGTTTCATCTTCAAGTAATATGAGAACTTCTCGAGAAGCTTCTTAATACCTAGTATATATCAGATTTAAGGTTGAGAGGATCTTTAGTCTTGATAATATATCTCTTGGAGTTTTAGCTCACTTCTCTTAGTATTGATCTTATATTCATCTAGTTTACTCAAGTTCTTACTAGCTTTCTTATTAAAACTCATCTATTCAATTTCTTGTTTAGTTTCTTGTATAATATATCAATGATAATTTGTTGAGAGTGCTCTCTTATTAATACTAGAGCTTGATTATTCTTAATAAAGAATGAATTATTTTCCTTCTTGAAAAAATCTAAGTGCTTTAGAGGTTGCAAAATATCCTCTTTTAAACTTGTATTATTTAAAAACTCCTTTTTTATTTTTTACAATGGCTAGAGGTAAAGACATTAGTATGGTTGAGCCTTTTAAGTCCAAGTTATTTATTATTAATAATACATTGAACATTTAATCTCATAGAACTGCTTAAATTGATGGATTTTTTATAAGATGTTATGGTGACGTAAGACCTGAAGCAGTTTATCATGTGATGCAACCACTTTCTTAAGCTTCTACATCTAAGGAGGCATTGACACTTGCACCTTAACAAGAAACTTTACTTATTCAACAAACATAAAGAACCTTAGATTAATCTTCTAAAAAAGTTTGATGGCGCACACTCCACATTTTGAAGATTTGTTAATCAAATTCAATTGCTAACTTTTCTACAATCAAATTTTTATTTCACAAAGTAATTTTAAGTTGATTTAGTTGAAACCTTGCTTACAAGATAAGCATTATCTTTATTTGCTCCTTTATTTGAGAAGAGATCTCCAATCTTGAGGAACTTTGAAGCCTTTTTAGAAGCATTTACAAAGACATTTGGAAAACATGACAAGGTTCAATTGGTGAAAATAAAGATTTACCTATTACATTAAGGATCATGCTCTACATCAATTTATGCATCTGATTTTAGACAATTGGCTTATCACATCAATTGGGACAAACAAGCTTTTATAAGCCAATTCTATTAGAAACTAAGGAATGATATGAAAGGCCTATTATTATCATTATCTCATCTTAAAACACTCAATGAAGCTATTAGCTAAGCTATGAAGTACAATAATAAATTATTTAATTCCATCAAGATTAATGCTTATTGACTTCGACAAAACAATGCATTGAAAATTTGAATTTTTATGCTTCAACAAATATACTACTTTTATATTTTGGACTTAAGAATATAAAAATTGATGCAATAAGTTTTAAACTTTTTACAACAAAAAAAAGATGCATCAATTTGAACAAGGCCTATGCTTGTATTGTAGTGAAAAAAGCCACATATTTAAGAATTGTTCAAAAAAAAAAACAACATACAATCAAGACTAGAAGTACAATCATTTAGAAAAACAAAAAGACCTAGCTACAATAAAGAAAGTACAGCTAGACATTCCAATACTTTAAATTCATTAAGGCTCTTCTTTTTTTGCCTAATTTTCTCATTATTTTATTATGCTTTTATTTCTTGGCGAATAAAAACTTCAAACAAATGCCTTATTAGATTTAGAAGTATATGCTTGGTTTTTTAATGAAGAATTTTTCAAAATTCATAAAATTCTTCTAATATAATAGTCAATATATTAGAAGAATTTTGTAGAAATTTATGAATTTTTCTTTCAGATAAAAAAGAAATGTCATTTGCCATTTATGCAACTCTAGCTTAAGAAGAAATAAGCTTGCTAGTAGCTATATTAAAGCAATATAAGGAGTTTCAAGATATCTTTAAAAAAAAATGTTGATATATTACCAAAGCATCAATCATATGATTGTACCATCAATCTTCAAGAAGAGACTCAACCACCATTTAGACGAATTTATTACCTATCATAGAACAAGCTTTCAACATTGAAAGATTATATCAATAAAAATCTTGCAAAGAACTTTATTTAATATTCCA